CATAGACTCATAGCTTATAACTTTCTTTCGGTATGACTGCTAGCTGATCAAGCCCAACTGTGGTGTCCTATTTCTCGCTAATTTTACTCCCGACACAAGGCAACCCACACCTCTGTCAATCGCAATATCTCGACTTCTTTTCAAGATAGATCTAGATCTAAATATACATGAGAATTTTTTTCATCAGAAGCAAGAAAACCAAACAAATTTTAACCAATAACTCAAAATGCCCAAAATCTGACGAGAGCCCGATACCACCGTGTCGTTATGACTCAGTCGACTATATCTAGACCTACAGTTCCCCTGCCAACAGACGGAGATACTCCAGCAGGAAATCGTTATCTCATATGTAACATGCTTTCCTTTTACTGGGTATCATTTTTGCGCCAATTTATAACTAGATCTAGATCTAGGGACGGGGCTTTACTGAGTAGCTTACCTCCTAGATCTACCTTTTTCTCAACTTTTGTTCAAAGTGAAAGTTTTAATATTGATGAATTACTAGAATGTGAATAAAAGTGTTGGGCAGCTGTCGTGTTGGTGCTGCAAATGTTGGGTTCTGTTAGCGGAATGGAATAAATAAACAGAAACCAAAGGATGAAACGACGATGTGTTTTATGGCTGTGATGGCTTCACTAATGAACGGATGTCCACAAATCGCGCACACCGTGCACCACCCAACACTTTTCTCGCAACATCCTCTGTACCAGTCACTGCCTTAGAACAAAGAGTCTACATAACAAAAGGGTCCACTCCTCTCTTTGAGCCAATTAAAAAAGTGTCCTCAAAATTCGGTGCCGCCCTCTTCGCAAATGCGCACCTTTTGCGAACAGAGTTACCCTACTTGTGTTAAAAAAATCAAAGTGAAACTAACAAGTTTTTGAATAAATAGGAATTCAAATTTCGGAAGAACGCTTTTTAAAAAATGGTTACGCTGACAAAAAACCTCTTCCAGAAGAAAGGGTGACTGTTTTCTTCCTTTAATTTGACTTTAGAATGAAAGGCGAGAGGTCATTAACATTTTCAAAACCAAAATCTCCGCACTGAACGAACCCGAACAGCTGATGAACAGCAGGCGATCTGCGCACGCAAGGAGGTGCTATTCCTATTCTTCTTCTGGAGAAACGAAAGAGAGCTTCAAAACAGACTGCAGCGCCATCTGAAGCAAAGAGCGAGCTTCCGACGGACACTTTTTTGGCTGAGTGGACCATCTTGTTATGTACCATCTTTGCTTAGAATTGCAAAGTTCTTGGTGACCTTTTTGGCCGTCCTGAGTTACTAAGACCATGGTGTCAGAAACCAAATCTTCTATCTGCTCGATCAAAATCGTAAGATTTTTTTTGAGTCGCTATCAAGATGTTCAAAGAATTACTTTCTAAAAAGCTTGACATGTGAAACTCAAAATTTATTACGTCTTTTTCGCTTTTACTTTATACTTTTTCCTTCCTCTGGTATCCTCAGGATGTCGAGGGAGGTACAGATTTTGGTCATGTGCTAAGTGTGTGCAGTGGCGGTGGATAGTGAAGGGCTCACGGGTTTGAGCTCTTTCATAGATGGAATATGTTTTAAGTATTGTGTACGCATGTTTGTGTTTGTGCCGCTGAGATTTAACAGTTATAAATCACATCGAACCACTTTTTCATCCAAAAGAATCTAACTTAGAGGAAAGAGACGGAAGAGAAAGGTAACTCTTCTCGTTTTAATGGTTCTCAAATTACCGTGGCTCACCGAGAGTACAGAAAAATCAGTACTGTTTAGGGCCATTGCTTGCTTTTTGGTGGTGAAGAAGTGGAAGCTACCTTAACCCCACCCAAATGTTGGTCCACCCACCGCCACTGAGAGGGTGACGTCTATGATAGATTATGTTATGTTGTTCCTGGACCTTTTTAACCCTAACCAGCAAGGTCCTTCTTGGGTTTCCTCTAGATGTGAAGCCGAATTCCCGGGTGTGGTAAGCTCTTGTCGCTAACTGTTTCGGGGGCATTCTGTTTAAATGCCCGAACCATTTATTGACTCTTTGACGCTTAATGAAATCTATTACTGGTGATATTCCGGTTTGTAGGCGTATGATTTCGTTCCTATGTAGTTTCTTCTGCTGATATTGATGTTTTTGCGAAGACATCTTTATTAGGTCAACTTTCTCAAAACTAAGTACAGAGCAATAAATAGAACTTTGTATTTCAAGGATAACGTAACCTGGGCCCTATCGCTCACGAGTGGATGATTTTTTGGTACTTCTGGTGGGTAGTGGGGATCACTCCGAGATGAAGGGTATCATAATTGATAAATGCCCCACTTGAAAATACATTCATGCTGGTGGTCGGTAGGACAATTTTAGTCTCAGTGGCGTCGTAAGTCTAGTGGATAGGCTACCAGACTCGTAATCGTGAGATTGAGGGTTGGGGGTTGGAGTCTCAGCTTGGTACGAAAGTGTGTCCTTGGGAAAGGCATTTTTCACGAATCTCCCATTTTGCTCGGTCCTTTCAGAGATGGACAAACTCGGAGGTTCTGCCTCTTAAATAACGTATATAGTGTTGATAGAGACGTTAAACGCATACCATCTTTTAAAGAGGGGAAAGTAAAAAAGAATTTAAAAAATTAAATTCAACGTCTTAAATGTGGCAAGGGGGTGGGGGTTGGCTATATAAAAAGGTTGACGGGTATTGTTTGGTACTATTGTGTCTGTAGTCTGATGATTTGACTTTCGTTTCGTCTTGTTTGCAAATGGTTTGAGTTCGAATCCTAGAGGAGGATGTCGTTGATTTTACTGACCCCATGGTGGAGGTGGTGGAGGTGGTGGGGATGATGGTGTTGGATTTTAATTGGAGTTAGGTCTCTATTGATTGTTTCATGTTCCTGGTTATGGTGTTGCTAATGTTTTTGGTGCTACTACTACTGTAATTGTGGTGGTTGTTGTTGGTGGTAATGGTGGTGGTGGTGGCGATGTTGTTGTTGATGGAAATGGTGCTGTTGTTGATGGAAATGGTGCTGTTGTTGCAGGTGGTGGTGGTGGTGGTGGTGGTGGTGGTGGCGCTGGTGGTGGTTGTAGTGGGGTGGCAATGGTGGTTGTGGTCGTGATGCTTGTAGTGGTGGTCGTAGTGGTTGTAGGGATGGTATTGTATTTATTGGTTTCGCATTTATATTGTTTTATTATGGTTATATATTTGTTTTTCAGTGACAGATCTTTGCTGTGCGGGTGGTGGTTGTGGTATTAATGGTGATGGTGTTGATGTTGTTGTGTCTGTGAGTGTGGTAGCTTATCTGTTCGAAATGTTTGGAGCCCCGAAGAGCGTGCTCTTCGCCAGGGCCGCCGCCTCCCTTGGGTAGCGAGTGAGGCAG